TGAGATGGGCGCCCGGTTAACTCAGTCGGTAGAGCTGGCGACCCATGTACAGAGTTGCTGCAGCGGCCCGGGTTCGAATCCTGCTGCGTGTCATCCCCTCTCTCTCTCTGCCCCCCCTTTCCCTTCTATCTTCAGATGTCACTATCCAATAAAGGCAATAAAAGGCCCAAATAAAATTACAAATAATAAAAGAAGTATTAATTATTTGTATTAATAGTAATACTGTAGTAGTAGTTAGAAGTAGTAGTAGTAATAGTAATATTGTAGTACTAGTTAGAAATAGTAGTAGTAATATTGTAGTAATAGTAATATAGTAGTAGTAATCATACTGTGAATATAACGTTAATTACCGATGTCCTCAATGCGTTCCACCCAAACGATCAGGAGTTTAGATTCAGAGCCAATGGATGACAACACAAAGCGAAAAGACTTCATGTCTTCACCTGGATAATTCTGGACAGACAGACAGACAGACAGACAGACAGACAGACAATATTTGACAACAGATCTGCATACAGAGAGGTTATAACCAAATAAAAAAAAGCTTTTATTTTGAAGGTCTGTACTGTGGGTTGGGGGGTGCAGTCTTGGCAGAGCTCTGAATTACTCTGCAGATTATATGGCGGCTCAGTTGGAGGCTCCGCTTCCTCTGGACTCTTCATCCAATCATATGCTTTAACAAAAAAAAAAAGAATTTAATTTAAAAGTCAATGGAAATATCTTCAATTTCACATACTTTACGCATTGAGCCTTCACACCTGTCCTTATTTAGCCACACCCATCCTCGTGGTCTTGCCTATCCTTACCTGGCCTTACCTGGCCACACCTGTCCTTATACGGTCAGAGACATCCCTATATGGTAACAGACATCCTTATACAGTCACACCTGTCCTTATATGTGGTCACAACTGTTTTTATATGGTCACACCTGTCCTGATGTGGTTTGATGATGATGATGATGATGGGACAATGAAGGCGATCTCTGTCAGATCGTCGGCATACATCAGGACAAACCTCTCTCCATTAAACACACCACCTCCACTGTCACCCAGCACAGCTGAGAATTCTGGGAGACAGAAATATTCCAATCAGCTTCAGGGAGATTGGTGACCTCAGATAACCTCTGATATCATCATGTGGTTGAGAGGCGACCAATCAGAGCACACACCTGAACTGTTGGTGCTGACCCCGCACACCTGTTGTTGCCCCACCTCCACCGGCTGACCGAGAGATGACAGGAAGTCAAGGAAGTGAGACGGGATGTTGCAGCTGGACTCCACGTTTCTCAGGATCTACAGAGAGACAGGCAGGTTAGAAACAGACAGGTGAGGAAAAGGAACAGACATGTTAGATAAACAGGTGAGGGAGAGAGACAGAAAGGAGGAATAAGATGTGAAATCATACTAAGGAACAGCTTTGAGTAGCTTATTTGAATAGTGTAAATGATCAATATAGAGACAAGTGAGACAGTCAGACAGGTGAGACAGACAGGTGAGAGTGACCTCAGCAGCTGTCCTCTGTCCTGCTTTCATGTAGAAGATGAAGGCTGAGTCACAGTTTCTGGACGGCAGCTGGTCCAAACGTCTCAGATCCTCAGAGAAACCTGGAAGAGTTGAGTCCAGAGACACCAGCTGAGCCGGAACACCGCTGGTACCTGGATCCTACAGAGAGACAAGTGAGAGGGAGACAGATCCAAATGAATAAATCAGTACATCAATCTCCATCCTGTCCTTGGTACCTTCAGAGTCTCAGGTGTCAGCAGGCCCAGGTGGGACAGGAAGAGTCTCGCTGTCTGGAACTTGGTGGCAGCGGGCGGCGGCCTGCAGGTCGTCATGACGAAGGACCGCCCTCTCACCTGTGGCTGAGCCTCGACCTGTCGCTGCCTCTGTATCACTTCCTGGAGGTGCTCCAGCTGCTTCTGGACCTGACAGAGGAGGGTAAGAGTTAACACCTGAAGAACAAGTTATTTTCAAAGCAAAAACATTCCACACACAGAACACCTGTCCCTCTTCAGCTTTGAGCTTCAGAAAGCATCCAACACAAGACAGGAAGTGAAACAAAGAGGCCATAAAACGGATCCCTGAGGAACATCACAGGTGATATGTACAGGTTTCAGCACAATCTGGTTCTTGGTTGGACCAGGTTCTTACCTCCTTAGGAAATGTCTCGTGCAGGGCTGGAATACTCAGATCTGCTTTAACTGAAGGAACCCTGTCCATGTGTTCAGGAAACAGCTGATGTTTGACGCCATATTGTATCCCAGAGACCTCCTGGGCTTTACCGTGGTGTTCAGGGATCAGAGTCTGCTGCAGTAGATCAACAGACAGGAGATAAAACACTGATCTGAGACCTGTGAAACACACAGGAGTATAATAATTTATTGTATTTGGTCACCTGTGTGTGTGTGCGTCCTTCTCTGGGCTGCAGGTGGAGCTGTAGAGTCCAGGTATGACATCCTGACGGTCCTCTGATCAGCACAGTGAGCGACGGACACAACGCTGCACAAACCAATCAATAAAATATTATACAGTCTTTACAGCTGATTGATCGATTAATCAATCATACAAATGTATCAGTCAGGAGGAAGTTACATCAGCCTCAAATGTTAATCACTTTGTCATGAGTCTGATGTGGAAATGTTGGACTAAGGAAATGTCATACATAACATCACATTCAGACACTGATGACACACTGATGACACACTGATAACACAGCATTAGGAACAATCTGAGGTTCAGTGTCTCGCTCTAGTCTTCTGTCAGAGGCAGAGCAGGTTGTCCACTAATTGGAAGGTTGTTCGTTCGTTCGATCGATCCCCGGCTCCTCCTGCCACATGTCAAAGTATCCTTGA